TGGTTGGAAGAAGTCAGGAAGGGAACCTTCGAATTAGACGAACCAAGGAGTTGTGTTTACGTGTTAATATTGCCATGGCATAAGCAGGTATATATCGGTATGACCGAGAGGAACTTGTGGGCGAGCTGGAGGGAGCACTATGGCCAGGGAAAGCGCGGGGGTTGTAAGCGGAAGCGAGCGCTATATAATTGGATGGGAAAAGTTGGGGTGCACAAGTATGTTGCTATACCGTTGTACACTAGCGAATGCCAGAAGGAACTGCAGGTGGTCAAGGACGCGTTGATAAAACGGTGGTCACCTACGCTGAATTCGAGACCAGGGAGAAACAACAAAGGTGCGAAGAAGGCGAGGAGGAGAAAGGGAAAGAAGGAGAAGAGGAAGGAGAATAGCAAGAGAACGACGAACGGAACTACAAGTAAATCTGTGGGGAAGGTCATAGAGATCCAAGAGGTTCGAGGAGCAACCGTGACTGTGCAGATCGTTGAGTTTTTAAAGAAGTTAGTGAAGCTGGGAAGGAAGGGTGAGATCACCATCAAAAGTCGTGGTGGAGACATTTGGGCCTGCGAATGGTGTGTGGTAAGACATTTATTTGGAGAAACGAGAGTTGTAGTGGGGAGAAACACCAGACCTCTTAGAGGTTGCAAGAATCTCTTCCAACAGGAGGGGGTCATCACTCTACGACGTGTCACAAAAGCTTTACCAGCGACCTTGAAGCTACGGGATGATATGATCCAAATGTTTAAAAGCAAAAGGAAACAAGCGGATCTGAAGAAACAAAACCTGGTGGATCTGATTAAGTACTATGGGGCGATTAAAACCTTTACAACTAAGAGAAGTAGATCGAGGGCGAGGATGATGATAGCGAGGGCAATCAAGGAAGCATTTGGATTGAGCGTCAGGAAGAGAATCATAGCTAAGGTAAAATATGATAAGAGGATTAGGAAGAGTGACGTAATGAGGTAAATCAGAAAGAAGACAGGGGGTCTGCAGTTGATGAAACCGTTGAAGGGGGTGATAAAACGACGTGCACGGGTTGTTTGGACTAAATGCTCTAATGTGGGTGATTTACTCCACAATCATCGGTGGTATGCGTCGACACGTGCATCCAGCTGCACTTGTGCTGGAATGCCCTACCCCAGAAGGGATGGGCACATACATTTCCTCATCGGGGATGTGGACTGGATTCCGAAGACAGTGAAGAATGCGAAGAATGTGCCACGACATGAAGATGAATAGAGAGCAGAGAAGTTGGTGAAAGAAATGGAGGAAGCTTTCAAATCCTGGGAGAGTGAGCTAGGAAAACGATTGGACAAGTGGAGTTCAAAGAGGAGGAAATTGAAGGATGCTTTGTGAAAGGTGAGAGTGTCGCGGCTGCAGGAAGTATGGGAGACGTACAGTTGGTAAAGGAACGTTGTTGTGAACATCAATCAAAGTGAGCAAACAAGTGTATAACACATGTTCCATTCACAAGAGTAGCATACATAAAGCACACCACACGAGTAGACAGAGAGTAGAATTGAGCGCAGGTACCACGTCAAAGAGGAGGAAATTGAAGGATGCTTTGTGAAAGGTGAGAGTGTCGGGGCTGGGGGAAGTATGGGAGATGTACAGTTGGTAAAGGAACGGCTGCAGGGCTTGGTGCTGGCTCCCCTAGATAGGAATCCAGGTGATACGTTGGTACTATGTCTGAGCTTATATGAGAAAGGTAAGGAAGCGACCTTCTTTGTGAATGATGGCTACAGACTTTGCGAGCATGATGAAGAAACCGAGTTGTTGAGAGTTGAGACCGAGTACGATATATTGGGTTTGGGTAGGTATGGTAAGTGGAATGGAAAGGGGAAAGTTGGTCGTGCGTATGCCTTGCCAAATCACAAGGATACGACTAAGTTTCAGCAAATATGCCCGACGTTTGAACAACCTTCGGTTAGAACCTGCAAAAAGATAGCGCAGGTCGTCAATTGCATGCTGTTTTCACTGCCAGAATCGAGTCATTTTAATATGAAATCAGTGTCACAGATGAAGCCAAGACTGATGAGGATTAATCAGAAGTTAGCAAGGGTTAGCAAGGAAGTGGGTGTGCTGGGAGCCTCATTCGATGTTAAGGATATGTTTAGTAAGTTACCTCGTAGCAAGGAAGCCGGAGTGCTGGGAGCCTCATTCGATGTTAAGGATATGTTTAGTAAGTTACCTCATGCTACGATTCGTCGAGCGATAGGTTGGGTGATTTGGTGGTTTTCGGAAAAAGGATATCGGGGAGTTTATGTGAAGAAGAGGGGAAAGGGCGCAAAACTGAGTAAGAGTCTGGGGATGGAAGGATAAGTACATCCGTGATTTTGTCGATTTCGAGTTGGAGGAATGCTTCATGATGGTAAGTGGTATCCTAATGAGACAAGTGATTGGGATTCCAATGGGGAAGAGCTTGAGCCCCCCATTGGCATGCCTCGTGTGTGCAAAAAGCGAATACGATTTCCTCCTCACCTTGGGAAATCAGAGGAGACTCGTGGGAGGGTTGAGGTTTGTCGATGACTCCTCAATTTTTGTGGCATACAACAGAAAGAGGGAAGGATCGGAGAGGAATGCAACGAGAATCATCAGGAAATTTGAATCATGCTACGATAAGGCACTCGCCTTGAAAAGAACGGATGAAGGTGAGGATGAGTGGATGTTTCTGGGCTGCAGATTGCGTATTCGAAGTGAGTTTCCCTTTCTAGGGTCGGTACAGGCCATGAAGAACGATGACGAACTTCACCAGGGATTGAACTTCTGTTCAGAAATTTTCAAGACTACGGATCTTGGACGCGCGCCACAATCTCCATGCTCGCACTCGAGTTCTGGTAGATTTGGTGCATGTTGCACCAAATCTACCAGAACTCGAGTGTGAGCATGGAGATTGTGGAGACCTTAGGAGGGGGAGTTACCCTGAAGATTGGTTCGAGTGAGCTTTGAGAAGTTTTTGCAGGGATAAATGGAATATTTGGAAACTGTTTGCAGTACTAATGACTGACAGTCGCCTGATTGGTTGAAAAATGACTGATCGGGTTGGCTCCCTGCTTTGGATAGGACAGGATGAGCTCTGTTGGGACCAGGGAACACCCTTTGTATCATGAGAGATTAGAGGACTAACCATAGGTAGCCGGGTCATTGTTTTATTTACTGGTTGACTATTTTGTATGATATTTGGTGTGATAGTCGAGTTTCAAACCTGTCTCCTGAGTGAATTCGAAGGGTCCGTAGGATAGAGTGGGATTGGGCCTATGTTGGGTTGTGAACCAGTTATGTGTTTTTTTAGTGACTTTGAAGTGGTCAGAGTTGGGATTTGAACCAACTACCGGACCGAGAGCCTTTTTGTAGGCCTATGAAGTGGTGCTGATACTTGTATTTGATTTTTCTCTATTTGACTGGGAAAGAACTCGATGGTCGGACCGGATAGTTTGACGAAGAAAGGTGTTATAAGACGGATAGTAGGGACAGGCTAACTCCTTTTCGTCCGCTAAGGACGGTGACGCAACGGGTTGGGCTGGAGGGCGTCGAGGTACTACGTTGTCGTAGTTTTCGGGACTAGGGTCTGGGTTGCATGGCGAAGCCATGAATGCGTGGGTTACGTCTTCGTATCTTCATCGAGTGCGTACACAGTTATATTGTTAACAACCACCTGTTAGCATGTTCATACTTTCGAATAACGATTGAAGATTTACAGCAACGACTCAACTTGTACGCTTGTGTGCGAGTTTCGAGTGTGGCTGGTGTCTGCTGTTTGCTTCCTTCTAGCCTACCGCTATCGGGCCTCAAAAAATGCCAACTTTTTGTGTTCTTCTGCTCGGTCTCGAGTACCCGACACTTCTACTACTACTTGAGTTGTACCGGCCTACCTGCTACGTGAGTGTTTTTCCTGCTGCTCTAAGTGTCGTGGGCCTACCCACGCTACTTGAGTGTTTTTCCCCGCTGCAACTCTCAAAGTCACGGTCATGGGTACTGGCCCTGCGCGGCTTCCCAACCAACAAGTACCCTTGCGGGTCACACACACACTCAGGCCGACAAGCACTCAGACAGGCACGCAGACCAGCAGGCACACACACACACATACTTAGAAATCACAGCAGAATGCAGGAATCGCAGCAAGGCATACATTCCAGTGGCAAATCCAAGAAATCGGCAGTGTAATAAGTCTGTGTTTTGGCGGGTCATTACATGCTTCGATTACGTTGTGTCGTATGGCAGCAGAGCATATGGTGGGCCGTGGCTAGAGTATTGTTCCGTTTCTTCTGCCACTTGCCACTGTCAACCATAGCTAGGGCTGGGGACGTGAGTTCTGTTTGAGGCCGTTTTCACGGTAGACATATCTTGACTGGATATGGCTGTAATTGCCATCAGATACATCCTGGTAATCCCACCTAGTGCAAGTGTGCCCTTAAACCACCAGTGCTTTCCACAAGTGCGACCATAAATGCTCTGGGATGTACACGCATAATCCGCGGAGGACAGATTCCTTCATGACCAACCGTTGTGGCAGCATAGCGATAGCTGGGAGAAGTACTGGTGGCTGAACTGTCTCACACAGTGACTGTCCTCTGGTGTAGAAACAGAGGCTGATGTAGCTTCCATCAAGCCATCAGGCAGGCACGCATGGTTTTCTGTCTTGTGTTGCTTGATAGGATGCACTTGTGATACAATGTCTGAAGGATGTTGCACTGCGATATATCCTGGTAAGGCCTAGTGCAAGGCGTGCCCTTGAGCGTTTCGCACTGGGTACTGCCTTCTGCGAGAGAAAGGAAACCTACTTTAACTGCCATCCAACCATCAGGCAGGCACACATGGACTTCTCGTCTTTTGTTGTCCGACAGGATGCAATTCTGGTACAGTACATGAATGATGGTCAGTCTTGCGTGGCCGGCTAAAATGCAATTCTGATCCGAGGTGCGAAGGGTGGTCAGTAAGTACTGATGTTGTGTAATCGTTCATCATGCCTGTGTATGTTCATTGGTGTCTTCATTTCCGTGCAGCAAATGGTTTCAGCGGCAGCTTCTGGGGAGCTGAAGTTCTTTGATATCCGCACTGGCGTGAGCCCCGAGATGAAGAAACCATCACCAATGGTGGTCAGGACGATTGAGGCGCATGGCGGTGGCAACTTATCGGCACTAGCTGTCCACCGGCATGCACCTGTGATCGCGACTGGAAGCAGTGATCGGTCCATAAAAGTGTTTGGTCTGGATGGGAGAACCATTGCCAAACCAAGGTACCATTTGTCAGTCGTGGGACAGAAAATTGGTCCTGTCACTTGTCTTGGTTTTCACCCGTACAAATTAAAGCTTGCCATGGGCGCAAAGGACCAATACATTTCCATTTTTGGAGATCCAAAAAATCTGGGCTGTTAACCATTGGATCACTATTCACGGTTGATGCATATGCTAACAATCATGCAAATGCATGCATGAGCTCCCCTTTGTATATACGATCTGGCATTATGAAGAAGCAAACATCTTAGGCTTACCATGCACTAGTGGTTAGCAGGGACCCCCACTTTTCAGCCCGTAGGTACCCCTCAAGCCTTTTTTTTTTTTTTTTTTTTTTTTTTTTTTTTTTTTTTTTTTTTTTTAACAGAACAAAGCTGCTTCTATTCTGGGGAGTGGTAGTCCGGCTCCTATTCCACCCTCAAGTCATGTAACATGTATACAACTCTTGCACATGTTCCCCATGCTACGGCCCAGGGAACCCTGACAGCATTGATTTCTTCCATTGGGAAGGATCGACTGTCAGTTCAGCCCTCCGTTGGAACAAGTTTTCTCCTCTTTTATTGTGGGTCCAGGTTTGTCTGGGCCAAGTTTGGTGTTTCTTGGAGTCTCGGAGATTACGGTTTTCGTAAGCGGCTTGCATGAAAAGTTGAAAAACATTTCTGCCCTGGTTCTTACTATTTTTTTTTGCTGATGGTTATTTCAACTTATTTGTTGTTCCCTCTATGAACTGTTTACAAGGTTTCTGTCTAAAAGGCCTGAGAGTTTTGGAAAAATCCTGAAATTTTAGGGCTCTGTTAACTGCGTCTCATGCTATGACCTTGTTGCACAATAGACATGAAAACCAAAGTATGTCCCGTGTAAGAGTATATGATGTACCTCTCCTTCTAGTTCAGAAGGTAATCTGTGTGTTGATTTGAATCACCACCAGCATACAAGTTCTTGAGTCCAGCTCCTCTTCCACTGGTAAGTCATAACGAACACCCCTCTCTTGAACGCTTTCCCATTTTGCAGCTTGGGGAACCCTGACAGCATGGATTGCTTCCTTTTGGAAGAAGCGACTGCCAGTGCGCCCACTCTTTCTCCAGCCTAGTGCCCCACCCCGGGCCGCGCCACCCCTCCTAAAGATGCCATAAGATCAGACCAAGTTTATTCGCTCGTAGACTGGCTATGCCAGACTGGCTGATACTCTGTGATTAGGAACTGATGTTATGTATCGAGGAGATTGCGTTGCACGGCTAGATGTGGCACTGCTTGATGCGTCTGGAGATGCTGGTTATTATGCCAGAGGGTGGTGTATAGCTGCCCTTGCGAAGGGGGTGTAATTCGTTTGCATTTTAAGCGTGTTGCATTCATTGAATACAATTGGGCAATGCAGAATGTTTTCTTCGGTGAAAGGTGTCTGATGATGCTGGCCCTTCTGCCGTTTAACTATATCACCGGTTTCTTGTGTACATTCCATTTTCTGCGTCTGTCGATTTATGATCAGCACAGAATCTCTGTTCGTCCTGGCATGTGGCTTTGGCTCCACTTCTGTTCTCAAGAGTGGTGAAAGTAGACTGAGGTTCACATTGTTCAACCAAACTGTAAACGGTTGTCTGGGAATGTTGACCTTTCGAGTGGACCTGACACAGCTCAGCAGCAGCAATGAGAGGAAACAAAGGGGGAAGAGGAAGAGAAGGGGGCAGGAGAGTGAATGGGGAGAGCAATTTGCATAACGTAAATACTGAAGAACATTAAAAAAAACACAAGTTTTTATTTCAAAGACAGTGTGGCCCGGAGCAACGAACAAAACAGGACTTTAGGAACTGGTCACACCCATGTATCATGGCACTCCATTTGTCGATTTGTCGCCTGCTGAGCTGGAGTAGAATACGGAATCTAAAGCATCTTCTCTATCTTGTTGATGGGAGCAATGCCACCTGGGGTAATCAAACATGTTTGTTTGTTTGTTTTCACTAAGCCCACACACACATGTGGGTCAATGATGCAGCTGCCATACCAGAAGCACACGTGGGTCAATGATGCAGCTCCCATACCAGAAGCAACCCTGCGGACACGCACCTCAGGTAGCAATTGGCAAAGAAAAAGGAAAGGG